TCCCCTGGTCCTGGGGGGTCCTGCCTGCCCCCCGCCCCATAGAGCTCAGCCCCTCACCCCATAGAGCCCCCCAGGAGCCCGGGGTGACCCCAGCCCCATGGCGGGACGTTGCTTCCCTGATCCCACAGCACGGGGCGATCCCGGCCGCCCATCCCGATCCCCTAGAGCCGGGCGATCCCGGCTCAGGGCCCCCAGCCCCACACGTCCCCATCGCGCCCAGTGACAGTGGCCCCCAGCACCGACCCCACGGCAGGGACATTCCAGCATCAGTGTGTGGGGCTGAGTGGGGGGGTCCAGCCTTTTGCCCCGATTTTCTCACCCCTCTTTTTTTCCCCCTGTTCCTCGCAGGGCGGCTACTTCCCCGAGCACGTGAAGGCCATGACCAGCCTGCGCTGGCTGAAGCTCAACCGCACGGGGCTCTGCTACCTGCCCGAGGAGCTCGCTGCCCTCCAGAAGCTGGTGAGGGGACGGGGACACGGGGGCCCTGCCAGGAATCCCAGTGTGTCACGGCCTCGTGGCCGGGCGCTCCGCGGTCTAATAATAGGGCCATGAACCACGGCTGAAATCGGATGCAGGAGCTGGGAGGGGCGGGATTGAGACCAGCTCGTGCTTGGTTTGAGCCTGTTTTCTTAAAAAAAACAGTCTGAAAATTGTGCTTGGGTTCTCTATCTCCTGATAAGAAGGGTGAAGGTTTGTGTTGGGGAAGGTAAATTTGGGGATTGGGTTTTGTTATGTTTGTTTCACCCTCTTCCTCGCTAAGAGATATGAAGGGCAGCAAGTGGCAGCAGCCTGGGTTGGGTTTGGGAAGGACAATTTCTCTCACGGGAATTTCTCCCTGCAGGAGCATCTGTCCGTGAGCCACAACAGCCTCACGACGCTGCACGGCGAGCTGTCCGGCCTGCCCTGCCTGCGGGTAAGCGCCGAGGCTGGGCCGAGCAGGGAGATGCTCCGTTGCGTCCCCGTGCTCCGGGAGGGCTCCTGTCCCTCTCTGCACTGGGATCTGCGGGCACATCCCTCCCGCCATCCCGTGGCTCGGAGTCCTTGGATCCGCAGGAGCTGCATGGGACCTGCCTGGTCCTCGTTGATCCCAGCCCATCTCTCTTTCCTTCCTAGGCCATCGTGGCTCGTGCCAACAGCCTGAAGAACTCGGGTGTCCCCGATGACATCTTCCAGCTGGACGACCTCTCGGTGCTGGTACGGCTGGCGTGGGAGGCAGCCGGGCTCCTGGTCCGGCTCTCCCACCTGGAGGGACCTCGTTCCCAACAGGGTGTCTTAGGGAAAGGGGCAACAAATGAGGTCCCAGCGCTGCCCGGATGCCTTTAGCTTTCCAGGGTCCTGTCTGAAGATGCCTTTCCCACATCAATAATCCCTCATTCTGGCATGTCCAGCCCAGGGGCAGCAGGAGAGCCTGGAGGGGGTGTCTGCGGGCAGGGATGGGGCAGGCCGAGCTACCAGAGATGCCAGTTGGTCCTTGAGTTGGGGTGGTGGCCACTGGATGCAGGGCCCTCCTTGGGGTGGAGGGTGACATCTGCTTTGCTGTCCTATTTCCCCCCAGGACCTGAGCTACAACCAGCTCACAGAGTGTCCCCGAGAACTGGAGAATGCCAAGAACATGCTGGTCCTCAACCTCGGCCACAACAGGTAGGTCCTGTCCCCCTCCATCCATGGTATCCGTCACCCCTCCTTGCTGCAGGTCCAGCTCTCTCCACGGGGCCATACAGAGGTGCTGGGCTGCCCTAACCCCCCTGTGTCCCTGCAGCATCGAGACCATCCCCAACCAGCTCTTCATCAACCTGACGGACCTGCTCTATCTGGACCTGAGCAACAACAAGCTGGAGAGCCTCCCGCCGCAGATGAGGCGCCTGGTCCACCTCCAGACCCTCATCCTCAACGACAACCCCCTCCTGCACGCGCAGCTCCGGTAAGGCCCCGTTTTCCAGGCGGGATGCAGCAGTGCGGGCTTAGGGCAGCGTGGAGCTCCGCGGCATCCCGGCCCCGCTTCCCGAGGGGCTGCCCCTCCATCCCGGTCTCCATCTCCATCCCGGTCTCCATCTCCATCCCGGTTCTCCATGGGCCGCAGGCAGCTGCCGGCGATGACAGCGCTGCAGACCCTGCACCTCAGGAACACCCAGCGCACGCAGAGCAACCTGCCCACCAGCCTGGAGGGCCTGGCCAACCTGGCAGGTAGGGTCGGGGCACACGGCCTCGCGGTGCCGCTGTCCCCGCTCCTGGGTGTCACCCGCCGCCCTCCTCCTAGACGTGGACCTGTCCTGCAACGAGCTCAGCCGCGTCCCCGAGTGCCTCTACACCCTGAGCAGCCTGCGGCGCCTCAACCTCAGCAGCAACCAGATCTCGGAGCTGTCTCTCTGCATAGACCAGTGGACCCAGCTGGAGACCCTCAACCTGTCCCGCAACCAGCTCACCTCCTTGCCTGTACGTAGCGTCCCGGCCTGTGTCACGTCCCTCCACACGGCCTTTCCCTCACCCCGCTGTCCCCTTCCTTCACCAGTCGGCCATCTGCAAGCTGACCAAGCTGAAGAAGATGTACCTGAACTCCAACAAGCTGGATTTTGATGGGATCCCCTCGGGCATCGGCAAGCTCACCAGCCTGGAGGAGTTCATGGCAGCCAACAACAACCTGGAGCTCATCCCCGAGAGCCTGTGCAGGTAGGGGAGAGCTGGGCCACCCCCAGGGGTGACGCAGAGGCTGCGTTGGGCACTCGCGTGGGGACAGGGGGTCCTCCAGCATCCCTGGATGCTGTCCAGAGCCTGCCCGGCCTTGCAGCAGCATCTCCCTGCCCTGCAGGTGCTCCAAGCTGAGGAAGCTGGTGCTGAACAAGAACCGTCTGGTGACGCTGCCGGAGGCCATTCACTTCCTGACCGACGTGGAGGTGGGAGCCCAGACATCCCCTCCGCCTCGGGGCTCTCCACAGCACCAGACCTGTTGGGAGGGATGGGGGGAGCTGAGAGTGGGTTCCTTGGAGCCAAAAAAATGCGCCCTGGGACACAGTTCAGTGTAGGCACGTGGTGTATTTGGGTTCACATTCCCTCCATGCATCCCGTTCACATCCCTGCACGTCCCCTCGCGCCCACGGTGCTCCAGAGGCCCCTGGAGCTGCAGCTGTCCCCAAAGCGGGGTCCACTCCCCCGTGACCCCTCGGCGTCCCCGCAGAGCAGTGAGGTGTCCCGTGTGCCCTCCGCAGATCCTGGACGTGCGCGAGAACCCCAACCTGGTGATGCCGCCGAAGCCGGCGGACCGGACCTCGGAGTGGTACAACATCGACTTCTCCCTGCAGAACCAGCTGCGCCT